GAAGCAAGGCCAACAATTTGCCTTGTTGAACTAGAACAAGACTGCAGGAATAATTTGATGGAAAACTGTTGAACTGTAACCCTAAAAATTAAGATTTGGGAAAAACCAACATATTGGGTGTCTGCCACCCTATAAAGACACCCCTTACTCTGAAAATTCAGAGTAATTTCATTACTGCAACGAAAGTTGAGTCCAAGATGGGGACATATATCCATAAGATAAGGAATCCCAGATTTAAAAGAGGATTCAGCAAATAGTAATGCCTTGGTAAAACCACACTTGGAAGACTGCATCCAGTTTTGGTTACCATGATGTAAAAAAAAGATGTTGAGACACCAGAAAGAGTGCAGAGAAGAGCAACAAAGATGATTAAGGGATTGGAGGCTAAAACATACAAAGAACGGTTGCTTAAATTGGGTGTGTCCAGTTTAATGAAGAGAAGGACAAGGGGGGACATGATAGCAGTGTTCCAGTATTTCAGGGGCTACCTCAAAGAAGAGGGAGTCAAGCTATTCTCCAAAGCGCCTGAAGGCAGGACAAGAAGCAACGGATGGAAACTAATCAAGGAGAGAAGCAACCTAGAACTAAGGAGAAACTTCCTGACAGTTAGAACAATTAACCAGTGGAACAACCTGCCTCCAGAAGCGGTGAATGCTCCAACACTGGAAGTTTTTAAGAAGAGACTGGACAGCCATTTGTCTGAAATGGTATAGGGTTTCCTGCCTGAGCAGGGGGTTGGACTAGATGACCTCCAAGGTCCCTTCCAACTCTGTTATCATGCATTCTGTATAACAGAGCTGGGATGTTGCCTGAGCTGGCACATCAGCCTCATTTGCTTGGTGCCTCACCAATTCTCATGTCTCCAGTGTCATTAAACATGAAGCCTAAAGGTATTTTTGTGTGTGGAAGAAATGGACTGTAAATCAGTAGTAGTTGACTTGACTTGCTCTGTTGTTCCAGTTGAAGCCTTGGGACATCTGGCAAGGACAATCAGAGAAAGGCTAAGATGCTGGCTTTAAATGTGGGGATCTAAAGTTCAGATCCTTTTAGGAGGTGGGGAAAAAAAAGACAAGATGTCTTGTTGAAGGATAATCTTTCTTTCCTTCTTTACCAGTGTGCTTGTTTATTTTGGAAGTTCATAGATGCAGCAATTGTTAGCAGCCAACTCTTTGATCCAAACATTCAACTGCTTCAAGCTGATTTGTCTTCGACATTGCCTTTAATGGACTTATCTGTGAATACGCAACGTCCTAGCATTATTGTCTGATACGGCAACTGCAGGAAACTGCAAAAAAAAATGTGGTATTTATGAGATGGGTCGGATAAAAGCATGAAACTGCTTACAACTCAATAGGATAAGCTGTTGTGAAAGGCAATTTATTTGTAAGAGATGCATTGGCGCGAGAGATTGATGGCTGTACTTTATCAACCTTTGTTGCATTGTCCTTTAGGGATAAGCAAATCTGAGAGTTTCCCATTAGTTTGACAAGGTTGTTTATTTCTTTTCAGACACAATCTTCATCCAAAGCTCCGTTGTCCCGTTTCATTGTTAAATTTCAGATAGGGATGTTCCAAGATCCAGCCTGGAGCAGACTTGGGGACAAGAACGGCTGAGGGACTTGGGTTTGGCTAGTCTAAAGAAAAGAAGAAATAGGCGAGACATGATAGCAGTGTTCCAGTATTTGAGGGGCTGCCACCAAGAAGAATAGGGGGGGGGTCACCAAAGCACCAGAGGGCAGGACAAGAAACAATGGTTGGAAACTGATCAAAGAGAGAAGCAACCTGGAGTTAAGGAGAAACTTTCTGACTGTGAGGACAATTAACTAGTGGAACAGCTTGCCTCCAGAAACCGTGGGTGCTCCATCACTGGAAGTTTTTAAGAAGAGACTAGAGTCACTTGTCTGAGATGGTATAGGTTCTCCTGCTTGAGCAGAGGGCTGGACTAGAAGACCTCCAAGGTCCCTTCCAGCTCTATTCTATTCATATTCACAATAGAACCACAACCAAGGTGGAAAAAAAAATTAAACCATTAAGTTCTTATTTCCTAGTTCAGTTAACTTTTGACTTGGTATTTTGTCAACATAAACCATGTATAGAACAGATAATCCTCCACATACGACCACAACCACATCTGTTGCTATGTGAAACATTTGATAAGTGGGTTTTGCCCCTTTTTATGACTTTTCTTGCCACAGTTGCTAAGTGAATCACTATAATGCTTGTCGGAAGGTCACAAAAGGGGATCACGTGACCCCTGGGACACTGCAACCGTCATAAGTACATGTCAGTTGCCAAGCATCTGAAGCTTGATCACATGACCACGGGGATGCTGCAATGGTTATAAATGTGAAAAAATGGTCATAAGTCTTTTTTCAGTGCTGTTGTATCTTCGAATGGTCACTAAATGAATTGTTGTAAGCCGAGGACCATTTTTTTTTCCTTATGTCATCATGATCATTCATGCTTTTAAAGTGAGGGTGCTGGAAATAAATCTGCAGGTTGTGGGAAGTCAGCCCCCCCAGAGAATGAAATATTAAAAGGGCAGGAAAATATATTTCCTCAAAGGATCTTAAAGAGGCAGAAAAGCATAGCCAGTTTTTCTGTCTCCCTCCCCCAAGCAGAAACCAGCTCTAGAAATGCAGATGTAAATCATCATGAAGGTCGAAGCTAGAAGCTTAGGAAGACAAAGATTCCTAAAATCTACATACCTCACCCAAACTCTAAGACAGGACATAATAGGATTAACACAGAGATACCAAAGGGCACACTTAGACTCAGGTCAAAGTTCATGCCACAGGAAGCAACTCCAAACAAAAGACTCCAGAGGGTATAAAAACCCACTCCCTACATGTGCTCACTCTCTTTTCTGCCAGAGCCATCTTTCTGTCTGGCTCTCCTCTTCAACAAACTGCAACTTTCTTCCTAAAGCAGTCACCCTGTTTATTCCCAGCTTGGACTGAACCATGATGAAGAGTTTTCTTTCAACAAGGTGATGGCAAACTTTGTCACAGGGAGCTAATTAAAAGTTGTAGGATCTGGATTAACCAGGCGCTGTGTATTCTTAGGGATAACTATAGATAATTATCAGACTCATCGAAGTAAAGCTTTTTGTACATCAAACATCTCCAAGGGAATCATGCAACTTATTTTCATGTTTAGTGGACCTGTAAAAATATTAAAGCCTTTTGGATTATGATTTGGTGGAACATTCAAAAGGTTTTTAAAAGGAAGATTAAGTTTACTCCCCAATTATTTCTTTTGGGTATTTTTGTGGATTTTGATGCTAAAGCAGTGGTTCTCAAACCTTTCTAATGCCGCGACCCCATAATACAGTTCCCCATATTGTGGTGACCCCCAACCACTTATACATCACCGGGTGCCAGGGGTATGGCCAAAGAAAAGGGGGGAAAATGGCAGACAGCCTTGTTTGGCGACCCCCGTGAAATGGTCGTTCGACCCCAAATGGGGTCCCGACCCACAGGTTGAGAACCACTGTGCTAAAGAAACTATTTTAATGTTGAATTTAATAACAGCAGCAAGATTATTGGTGGGTCAATATTGGAAGAAAGACTCTCTGCCTTCTTTAGAAGAATGGGTATTTAAGGTTTCTAATTTAGCAGAAATGGCTAAAATTTTTGCTTATTTAAAGGACCATTCACAAGAGAGATATGTTATTGTATGGAGAAGACGGATAGAATATGTTCAGAAGAAATAGGGAACTACAAAGTTTCATTTATTTTATGAGTAATGGATTTGTTTATAAAATTATGATGTTAAAGTTTGAAGAGAGTTAAGGCTTAGTATGATTTTGGTTATTGTATAATTAGTAAACTTAAGTAGATTATGTTTAATATGTTTGTATAACCCTGTACTTGGCTCTGGGAAGTCGGGGTGGGGAGAGGGGGGTGGGGAGAGGATGGGTTGGAGGTTAAATAGGTCAGTCCCCTGGACTGCATCCGGAGTGAGAAGACAGGAGGAAGGGGAGAAGCAAGTAGGAAGGTTGAGGAGAAGGAGGAGAGGGGGAGAGTGAGGAAGAAGAGGGAAAGAGGGAAGTGAGAGAAGAGGTCAGAGGGTGGATGCGGTTTGGGGGGAAATGGGTGAGCAATACCGAAAATTGTGTGTTTAAACTTATTCTATTCTTTATCTGAAGTACTCTTTATGAATGTAATGAAAAATTGAAAATAACATTTTTTTTACAAAAAAAAAAAAACATCTCCAAGGGAATCAATGAGGCAGTCTAATGCAGCGGTTCTCAACCTATGGGGTCGATCGACCATTTCACGGGGGTTGCCAAGCAAGGCTGTCCGCCATTTTTTTCCCCTTTTCCGGCGGGGGCCTTACCTCCCTTGGGCTGGGCCAGCTGGTGGCCCAGCCGGTGGTCGGCCTGCTCTGTCTCTGCCGCTTGCCAGCTACACCTCGGCCGGCGCAGGGGGCGGCACCATGCATGCTGGCGCTCCTGGGCAGGGAAAGTCCTTGGCTTACGACCGGTTGGGTAGTCCTGGACTTACGACCAGTTTAGTCCTCAATTTACGACCGGTTTAGTCCTCGACGTACGACCGGTTGGGGTCGCGGCATTAAAAAGGTTGAGAACCACTGGTCTAATGCATATTTTCCTCCCCAAACACGTCTACATCAGTTAGCTGGATCAAGTGAGTGAAAAAAATGCATGCATCCTAGCCACAAACGTATTTTTATGGGGGATTCATAAATTCATATAGAGTCGATCATACCGTAGGAAAGGGAATTTTCCTAATAGGGCTCTTCAAGCCTATCCTTAACATTATTTCAGAGGAATGAAAGCTAGGATGAAGTGCACATAAGTCAACGAGTTTCGGCTCTTCCAACTAATAATATGAAGTGATGCACCCATGTACAGCTCAGGAGACATTATAAAGGGCTGTGAATTGAAACATCTTTGACGTGGCTGATGATTATGAATGCCTTTTATAGTGTCCTGGAGGAGCCTTCACGCCCAACGTTCGGACCACCAAGGAGTTTCCAGACGATGTGGTCACCTTCATCAGGAACCATCCCTTGATGTTTAATTCCATCTATCCAATTCATAAGAGGCCGTTAATTATCCGGACAGGCACAGATTACAAGTATACAAAGATAGCAGTTGATCGTGTCAGTGCTACAGATGGAACATATCATGTCTTGTTTCTTGGGACAGGTAAGAAAATTTAGCATTGTACTTCTTAAATTCAATTTCACCATCATTTTTTTTTGTTCTTGTTGTTGTTGTTGTTTTGCAGCGGGACTGAAACAACGTTTGGGTGCTATCACGTAAGGTAGGCAATGATGTTTAGGACCAGGATTGTCTATATCCACCTCTAAATGTTTAGAAAATAGGCTGGCAAGGGAACAAGGAAAGGAAGGAAGGAAGAGAGGGAGGGAGAGAGGGAGGGAGAAAGGGAGGGAGAAAGGAAAGAAAGAAAGAAAGAAAGAAAGAAAGAAAGAAAGAAAGAAAGAAAGAAAGAAAGAAAGAAAGAAAGAAAGGAGGAAGGAAGGAAGGGGGAGTGAGGGAAGGAAGGAAGGGGGAGGGAGGAAAGAAAGAAGGAAGGAAGGAAGGAAGGAAGGAAGGAAGGAAGGAAGGAAGGAAGGAAGGAGAATCACAAACCTATCAAATGTAGGAAGAACCAATAAAGGAGAATATTTATAGCTCAGGGTTGAAATGAGGGGTCCCTGGTGCTATCTGTGCCTCGTTGTTTTCTTGCAGATGTTTCCTTTCCCAACCTCAGTAACATCATCAGTTACCCAGCATTTACTAGACAGTAAGTGCTAGGTAACTTACTTAGCAACTGTGCTAGTACCTTACTAGCACTGCGGATATTACCTAGTTTGGTAATGAAACATCTGCAAGCAAGCCCAGAGCTCAAACCGCATCCCTCCTCTAATTTAGGAAGAATCAAGACAAGTTTAGGGATGGGTTAGACATTTATTCAGCTTTGGCTGGGTTTTTGTGTTTCCAAAACTAATAAGAAAGCGTGCAGAAACCATGTCAGATTACATTTATCAGAACGTTGTATTCATTCATTCATTCAAAAAAAAAAAGGTTAGGAGAAGATCACAAAAACATGTGGAGCACATCAAAGTTGTCAGACAGTGATGTAATAAACCATCAAATGTATAAATAAAAGCTAATGATCCACCATGCTTTTCTTCAACGACCCAACTGAAAGTGGTGTACTTCTAATAATGGGCTTTCATCAGCTGATATTCTTTTCAGAGAAGACTCATCATTAGGATAACAAATTGTCTTAGGACCTAAAAAGACCTATTTGAGGAAGCTATGACAAATAGAGGAACCTTGCAGTAATTCTTCACCCTGACCAGTAGTAATTTACTTCATCAGGAGGAATGTTGATGAAAGCTCAGCAGACATGGCTGAGGACTTCAAAAGCTGCGTGAAAATCTTTGTGTAGGGCCAGATTTATGAAACTGAACACAAGGCAGCATCTCTTTTGCTTCGGACAATCTACTCAACCTTATCCACTATGTTGAAGGCTGGGCCAAGCCCCTTTTATTCTCCTTGCTAGTGTTTTGTGCCTCTCCTTGCCAGGCATACATTGAATCTGGCTGTGATGGGCAGTGCAAATTTTATTTGCTTCAGCGTTTAACAGTTCCCTCCCTCTCTCCTCGCCCTTCTGTTTATAACAGAACTTGCAACTTTCGTTCAAGCTCCAGTGAGTTTCAGGGATGAGCTAATAGGGCAGTTTGGCATGACCAGTTCAGAATAACAGAATATAACAGAATAACAGAGTTGGAAGGGACCTTGGAGGTCATCTAGTCCAACCCCCTGCTCAGGCAGGAAAGACTATATCATTTCAGACAAATGGCTGTCCAGTCTCTTCTTAAAAACTTCCAGTGTTGGAGCATTCACAGCTTCTGGAGGCAGGTTGTTCCACTGGTTAATTGTTCTCCCTGTCAGGAAGTTTCTCCTTAGTTCTAGGTTGCTTCTCTCCTTGATTAGTTTCCATCCGTTGCTTCTTGTCCTGCCTTCTGGTGCTTTGGAGAAGAGCTTGACTCCCTCTTCTTTGGGGCAGCCCCTGAGAAATTGGAAGACTGCTGTCATGTGTTCTGCTTCACCTAACATTGTATGCCATACACTAATCTTTTCACTATTTTGGCTTCTGCACCTACAAACAACTTGTGATTTTTAATATTATAAGCCGCATAGAGTCAAACATCTCCTGGTGATTGGCCCAAAGTCACCCAGCACGCTTTCATGCTTAATGCAGGACTAGAACTCACCATCTCCTGGTGATTGGCCCAAGACCAACCTCTTTTAGATATATATTAGATATGTTATTGTGTGCTCAACCCATCTGGAAAGTCAATTCCAATTCTTCCTGGAAATCAAAAGAGTTAGTCTCACATTTTTTTGTTTCTCTTCTTGCCAATGGAACATTGTTCCAATGGTTCCACTTTTCTTTTTATTTTTTGGCTTGGCTTGCCTTGCCTTGAAATGCCTCAGGTGTCAATCCCCTAAATAACAAATGAAGAACTTCTTTTAAAAAAACAAGTAACCCCAATGCATAACTTATACCCACATTGGAGTATCCCTCCTTCTCTGCTTTTTGGCTGTCTTGAGCAAAGGAAGTCGGAACAAAAATGACAAGTTAATTGAAACCTTTGTGACCATTTCCTTCTGGGGAGTGTAAAATGAAAAAAACTGCATTGTGTAATATTGACAGGCTTAGTAATTGAGGGTTGGGGCTGTAGCAAATGGGGCTTGGCAGAGTGGCAAGATTGAGGCTTTAGACAGGCTTAGCATGGGTGACTGGGGAGCTAAGCCAAAGCTGCGAGAGTTACATCTACCGTTTTGTCTATAATATCAGTCATTTGACAAATTATGGGTTTTCCAAGCCAAGTTCAGAAAGCTCACTTCAGAACGAATCCAAATACACATCTTGAACTGACTTTCCCGGGGCTAAGGTGGATGCAGAACTCATGCTGGTTGACTTGGCTGGGATTGATAAATTTCTCAAATTTCCACTGGCCAGGTTGAATGGCATAGGTCACAGGGGTAGGCAACCTTGGCTCTTTTATGACTCGTGGACTTCAACTCCCAGAATTCCTGAGCCAGTATGGCTCAGCTTGGAAACCTCTCCCTTTCCTCTCAGCGTGGCTGCCTCAGGAATTCTGGGAGTTGAAGTCCACGAATCATAAAAGAGCCAAGGTTGCCTACCTCTGGCCTAGACCTAGGCCGCTTTGTGACTCGTGGACTTCAACTCCCAGAATTCCTGAGCCAGCCACGCTGATGGGAAAGGGAGAGGTTTCCAAGCTGAGCCATGCTGGCTCAGGAATTCTGGGAGTTGAAGTCCACGAGTCATAAAAGGGCCAAGATTGAAGACCCCTGCCTTAGAGTGAGACATTTTATGATAAAGTCTCAGAATTTTAGGATAAAGGCCCGTCGTATTGTCTATGCCGACTAGACTTCTTCACAAAATCCTTTTTGGCTTGAAATAATTTTGTCTTTGTTTCCATTTGGCTTCAGATTGGGAAACAAAGCGTGGAAATTGCTCACAGGAAGCACTCTTGACCTTTCTCACGGAAGAACAATACGTTTTCATAAGGCAAATAAAACGTACAGGGCAGTTTGCAATAGTGGTGAATATCTGTAGCTCGAGTGTAGGGTGAGATGGAGGTTTGTTCTCCAAGCTTGTGGGTTGGTTTCTGAAAGTTTCATTACCAGGATAGATAACATCTTCAGTAGAATTTAGACAATGTCACCGTTGATGTTCTTCTGCTTATAAGGGCTCCGTGTGGTCACTAGGTGACGGGAGGGTCATGTCAGATGAGGGTCTTGTGAGGTGTTTTATGAGGGGCCAGGTGTGGGATATGTCAGGTGAGGGTCTTATGAGGGGTCTTATGAGGGATCAGGTGTGGGACACATCAGGTGAAGATCTACAGTAGTGGCCAAAATTGTGGAAACCTTTTGGGAAAAGCGTATTTTTGAGGTTTGATGGCTAATAACTCCACTATTTTTGGAGTAGTACCATAAAATTATATATCCATGGAAAGATAATTTAATCAAGAATGTAATGCAACAAAGTTTGTTCAATTATCTGTGCTGTATTCTATGAAATGTTATAGCCAAATAACCAAAAAAAGGTTATTTGATATCAGGTAGCGTTCCTTCATCTGATTGTAGCCAATGAGCGTGAGTGTTGAGAGAGCCAATCAGGTGTCATCTTGTTTTGGCAATGAGCCAATCAGATCACAGTAGGATTCAGTGATTGATGTCCTGTATTGAAGCATAACACATCTGTCAGTGTGTTATGTGATCGCTATCAAGTTGGTGGGTTTTTTTGTGTGTATTTTCATTTAGTGAGCTTGTAAAACATCATAAAATTAAAGGAATGGTGCAGAGAGTTGACTGGCCGTCCAGAAAGCGATGTAAAATAGTATTATGAAGTGAACAAGGCTACAGTAATAAAGAAATTAGAAGAAAAATGGGTGGAAACTGAACCAACGGTGGTATTTCTACTGTATACTTTTCTCAAAAGGTTTCCACCATTTTGGCCACTACTGTAGTGATGGCTCTAGTACCGGGCAGTTTTCAAGGTCATACAGACCAATTTTGGCACTTCGAAAGCTTTATTCTTCCTCACAGGAATAAATATTTTTGAGGAGGTTACGTAGTTGATTATCTATAACAGTGGTTCTCAACCTGTGGGTCAGGACCCCATTTGGGGTCAAACGACCATTTCACAGGGGTCGCCAAACAATGCAGTCCACCATTTTTTCCCCCTTTTCCTTAGCTGTGCTACTCCCTTTTATTCTATTGGCTTTTGAAAGCCAATAGAATAGACTCTCTTGAATAGAGTCTAATTCTATTGGCTTTCAAAAGCCAATAGGAATTGTCCAGGCTGTCTCTGCCCTGCTGAGCCCGCCAAAAGTCCCATTCTCCAAACGGTACTGCACCAGTTGAGTAGTCCTCGACTTATAACCGGTTGAGTAGTCCTCGACTTACAACCGGTTGGGGGTCGCGGCATTAAAAAGGTTGAGAACCACTGATCTATAAGTAAGCAGTCAAGCTCAGAAGGCACCAAGAATTCCACAGTTCAACCCTAAACTACATGTATTCTATTCTATGGAATATTTCAAGCAGAATGCAGAAAATAGGCTTATTTTTATGCTTTTCACTTTCTTTTCTTCTCCTCTTTTCTGCTTGACTTCGAGGTCAAATACCTCCCAGTCTGAATATGTTATGTTTGAGCCCGATCTGAAATTGCAGCCGATCCCATCTGAAAAAAAAAAATCCAAGAGAGACTCTCTCAAAGCAAAACTGCTATGAAGCGGCAATCTGGGCCAGCTTTTCCTAACAATTGTGGTTGAGGATTTTTGTCTGTGTATGATGTGGGAAAGAGGCCTTGCTCTCTCAGCCTCTTTATGACTTGTTTATTTGTTTATTTTTATTTTTTTTAAAGGGGAGAAATAGCTCTATGGAAGCCTGTTCTGAAGTCTTGACTTTTGATGGTGAGCATACCAACTGGCACATTCTCCTTGGGCTGATTTATATTAAATATGTATGGAAAGATTTAAACTTTTATCTTGAATTAGGCAGTGGAACATACTGCGTAGCCCGCCAAACATCTGTGTGTTCTGTACTATCCAAGCTGTGAACCGTATTTGGATATAAACAATCATGTTTGAGTTCTCTAGTAGAAGGCCATCCTTCTGTCAGTTGACAATGTGGGTCAATATTTGGTTTTCTCATCTCGGCCCTTCCTTCTTGCTCACACACCTTTTTTTTTTTTTTTTGCTCAATTTCTCAGCCTCTTGGCTAATTTTACTCTTCTGACGTCTTGTTTCCTGGCTCCCTTCCAAATCCTCAGAAGAAAAACGGGATTTATAATAATTATTTGTAAAGCTAAGCATGCGTGAAATGCTTCTGGAGGTTCAAAGCACTATTTAATCTCAGCCATTTTTCTACCAGTTTTTTTTCCCCAAAAACCTGGCCATTTTAAAAGGGGTAGGCATCAACTCCCAGAATTCTGGAAATTGATGTCCACTTCTCTTAAAATAGCCAGGTTTGGGGGAAAAAAACACTATTATATACCAACTATATCTTACAGAAAAGTTCATTTGCAGATGTAGGGCTCAACCAGAAAAATAACCACTGCTTAGAAACTGCCTCTTCCATTCATGGCTAAGTTAAGAAGATCTTTCTTATCTGCAAGCTCAGATTTTTATTCCCAGGTTGCTGCAGATTTCAATTTGGAAGAGGAGAAATCTCAGTTCATAAAGCAAATGGTATGTATTTAATAGAATAATAGAGTTGGAAGGGACCTTGGAGGTCTTCTAGTCCAACTCTCTGCTCAAGCAGGTTGTTAGTTGCGAAGTCATGTCCGACCCATCGTGACCCCATGGACCATGTTCCTCCAGGTCTTCCTGTTCTCTACCATCTTCTGGAGTCCATTTAAGCTCACACCTACTGCTTCAGTGACTCCATCCAGCCCCCTCATTCTCTGTCGTCCCCTTCTTCTCTTGCCCTCCATCTTTCCCAGAATTAGGCTCTTCTCCAGTGAGTCCTTCCTTCTCATTAGGTGGCCAAAGGACTTGAGTTTCAACTTCAGGATCTGGTCTTCTAAAGAGCAGTCGGGTTGATCTCCTCTGGGACTAACCGGTTTGACCACCTTGCAGTCCAGGGGACTCGCAGGAGTCTTCTCCAGCACCAGAGTTCAAAGGCCTCCATTCTTTGGCGCTCAGCCTTTCTTATGGTCCAACTTTCACAGCTATACATTGCAACTGGGAAAACCATGGCCTTGACCTCGTTTATTAGCGCATCAGCCTCAATTATTGCAGCCACAATTTTATTCATAAGAGAAGACAACTTTATATGAGACCCACAACATCCTGCCTTCTCAGTGATCGTTCCTGATTTTTGAATAATATGCCTCTAGAGAGGGATTCTGCTTCCGCCATTTTGAGTTTCTTCAAATTGTTGAAAACCTGGTTGTGCTTTTCTTTTTGTAGAGGAGGAAGGCTTTTGATTACATATAGATATTTTTTTAAATTTTATTTTCTGTGTTGTAGATTGTGTTCAATTTGACTGTACCTTCGATTCTTTGCATATGGCTCTTTTTTAATTATTATTTCGGTGTAAGTCAGCCCAAGTCATCATGGAGTCAGGAACCTCAAAACTGGGGTATCAAATTAAATTAAATTCATAGAAGATATTTAAACTGGCTTTAAAAAAAGCCACAACAACTGCATTTCTACAGCATGTAATACACTTCAGTTTTAACTTTTTTCTCTGTGTGTTATGCAAAATCAACCTACTGAGTTTCTTTGATGTATCGTGCAAACTCGGAATATAGATTAATTCAATAACAAGATCAATCTTGGTATGTGAAGGCAGTTAATGATCTCTCTGAATGTGGGGAACAGAGTAAGCAACACAGTTGAGGACTTTATTTCTAAACCTTTGCAGTTGTTTGCTTTATTTTTACTTTGGTATCTTTGAGGTAAATATAGAAAATTTACAACATATATAAAAAAAATAACAACAGTGTTTTAAACCACAAGTGGGTTTCCATTATTTGCTTTTCCAAACACAATTTCTTGTATTGCAGTGGAGTTCACTTAAAGATATTCCAGTAGAACTGTGGTTTGGAGTAAAATCAACCCAAAACACACACACCAAAAGACATTTTAAAAGGAAAAAAGAAGATTGATATATAATTCACACCTTTGTTGAATTCTGAGATAACGTAAAGCACTTCCGTGACTCTTAAAATTTTATATCTGTCTAGCTATTTTATCGGACATGATACTGTTATTATTGCTCCCAAGAAGATATGGATTCAATGGCCACATTAGCAGAGTTCTGAAATGTTCTCGCCTTTATACCATGAAAATATTTGTTTAAAAAAATAACAATTGTGGGTCTATTTTTTTCTCTCTGTGTGTGTCTTTGAATGAATGCAGGTGACTTGGTGTCTGAAAACTGGCAAAAACCCAACTCTAGTGACAGGGGAGATTATATGTTTATTTTGATCCCTTGGTAGATGTTTAACTTTTTCCATTGTGTGTTTACATTGGCATATCTTGGCCATTGTTGCCACAACAAAAAACAAGACTCATTTATTTGAAATGTAACGTGCAACTAGTTGCTATATAGACCTCAAGGAAAATATACTTGCAGAGAAGTTCAGTTAGTTCAATTTTATTACAACCCTAAACAAAATACTGACTAAAAGCTGTATTCTATCTCTCTCTCTATCTCTCTCTCTCTCTCCCTATCTATCCATCTATCTATCTATCTATCTATCTATCTATCTGTCATCTATCTATCTATCTATCTATCTATCTATTTATCATCTATCTATCTATCATAGCAGCCAATTAGGTCTAGTAGTTAAGACAGCAGGCTACAAAGCAGGAGACTGTGAGTTCTAGTCCCATCTTAGCCATGAAAGCCAGCTGGATGACTTTGGACCAATCACTCTCTCAGAGCTCAAACTATCTCACAGGCTTGTTGTTGTGGGGAAACTGGAAGGAGGAAGTTGTGTTGGATATATGCACCAACTTGAGTTATTTGTAAAAATAATTAAAGTGGAATACAAATAAAATGATGATGATGATGATGATGTAGACATAGATATATGTTCAAAATCTGTAGGGTCAATCAAGGTTTATATTTGGAGGGCTTTCACAACTGGTCCAGTTAAGGTCTCCTCCTCTTTTTTTACAAGATGCAACAATTTCTGTTTTGAATGGATTACTGGTACCACTAATCCCACCCACTCTGTTCATCTTTGCATTGTATGCAGTGAAAATTCAGCTCTTCTTTTCTGCATGGTCTCAAATATGGTCCACTTCTCCATTTCAGACCAGGGGACGGTGCAGAAGGTGGTGGCACTACCCTCTAACTCATCGGCAAATGGAGAGCTGATCTTGGAAGAACTGGAAGTGTTTAAGGTTAGTTTCTCTCAAGATTCTTCTTTTTTTTTTCTCCTCATCAAAACACTTTCATCCAACAAGCAAGCAAACAGACAATTAAAAGTAGCAGCAAATGAAAACATATATAAACCACTATCAAAGTTTATACTCCCATGCAGTAATGGTAATAACTTCTGTAGGAGATGATCAAACTGAGCTGGAAAGTGGGGTTAAACATGTCATCGGTTTGGAATCTTTGTGCTCCCAGCTGCCCATGGATTCAGTTGAATCTTATCTAGCACCAATTTAGCTCTGACCATTATTTGACCAGATTCTTGTGCATAAGTAGCAATAATAAACTCTATCTATCTATCTATCTATCTATCTATCTATCTATCTATCTATCTATCTATCTATCCTCTATATCTATAACTATCTATGTATATCATCTATATATCTATGTATCTCTATCTATCTACTCTATATCTATATCTATATCTATCTATCTATCTATTATCTATCTATTATCTCTATATCTATCTATATCGATCTATCTATCTATCTATCATCTATCTATCTTCTCTATATCTATATGTATCTATCATTTATATAAATATGTATCTCTATCATCTATATATCTATGTCTGTCTGTCTATCTATCTATCTATCTATCTATCTATCTATCTATCTATCTATCTCTATCTATCATAGCAGCCAATTTGGTCTAATAGTTAAAGCACTAGGCTACAAAGTGAGAGATTGTGAATTCTTATTCCTACTTAACTATGAAAGACAGCTGGGTGACTTTGGGTCAATCAACTGGAGATGGGTGCAATAATAAATTCTTCAGTGCTTTGAACTCAGCCAGCCATGCTGGCTGGGGTATTCTGGGAGTTGAAGTCCACAAGTCTTAAAGTTGACAAGTTTGGAGACCCCTTGATGTACATTCACCCAAAAGGATGTAATTTGCATAATAGTTTCATTAAAGAATACAAGTCACCATGAAAACCTCTTTTCTCAGTTCACACACATTTAACAGATGCCCGCTCTCTCCATGGGTCTGTTAAAAGGCAGGTTTCATCCTGTTGATCTTGAGCGGTTGGCTTTCTCCGAGGGGAAAAAAAAAAAGCAGAATTACAATATTTTACACTCTGCTTTAAATTGCTTGTTTTTCATTATATTGTCAGCTTGGCTTAAATAATTTTGAAAAAGTTTTCCCCACACACACACTGACACACACACTTTTCCAAGTTGTAACAGCTGCCACAAAATCTGACTTCTTCTTTGTTTATATCATGATTGCAATCTCTTGTGATGGGATGTCAAGTATACTGCGGGTGTTTGTGTGTGCATGTCTTAGTTGATAAGGTTTTTGACAATAAGATCTTTTTAAAAAAAACTTACTTTTTTTTGTTCCTTATAACCCAAAAGTTTCCGATATTGGCCTCAATCAGCTGAAGCTCTAAAGAAGGGATTTAGGAAGAAAAACCCAGAGGAAGTTTCACATTGTTGTTTAACAGAATAAAGAGTTGAAAGGGACCTTGGAGGTCTTCTACTCCAGCCCCCTTTTAAGGCAAGCAGCTCTAATCCATGGCTGTCCAGTCTCTTCTTTAAAAGCTCCAGCGATGGAGCAGCCACAACTTCTGGAGGCAAGCTGTTCCACTGATCAATTATTCTGTCAGGAAATTTCTGCTTAGTTCTAGGTTGCTTCTCTCTTTGATTAGTTTTCATCTGTTGCTTCTTGTCCTGCCTTCTGGTGCTTTGGAGAATAGCTTGACTCCCTCTTCTTTGTGGCAACCCCTGAGATACTGGAAGACTGCTATCATGTCACCCCTCATCCTTCTTTTCATTAAACCCGATATACCCAATTCCAGCAACCGTTCTTTGTATGTTTTAGTATCCAGTCCCCTAATCATCTTTGTTGCTGTTTTCTGTACTCTTTCTAGAACAGTGGTTCTCAACCTTTTTAATGCCGCGACCCCCAACCGGTCGTAAGTCGAGGACTACTCAACCGGTCGTAAGTCGAGGACTACTCAACTGGTGCAGCACCGTTTGCAGAATGGGACTTTTGGCGGGCTCAGCAGGGCAGAGACAGCCTGGACAATTCCTACTGGCTTTTGAAAGCCAATAGGATTAGACTCTATTCAAGAGAGTCTGTTCTATTGGCTTTCAAAAGCCAATAGAATAAAAGAGAGTAGCACAGCTAAGGAAAAGGGGGGAAAAAATGGTGGACTGCATTGTTTGGCGACCCCCGTGAAATGGTCGTTCGACCCCAAATGGGGTCCCGACCCACAGGTTGAGAACCATTGTTCTAGAATCTCAACATCTTTTTTTTTTACATCGTGGTGGCCCAAACTGATTGCAATATTCCATGGGTGGGCTTACCAAGGCATTATAGAGTGGAATTAACACTTTTCGCAATCTTGATTCTATCCCTCTGTTAATGCAGCCTAGGACTGTGTCGGCTTTTTTGGCATCGGCTGCCGCTGTTGAGATTAATGTTCCATTTTTCTCCACTGAATGCAACATCCTTCTCTTTGTATGCTTTCCACAAACATGACACCGATTGCTAAAAAAAAAAAAAAAAAAAAAAAGAGCCACATCCATCCCTTGTATCAAACATGGACGCTCCTCAAAGACCCAATTCATGGACTTTGTCTGGATATTTGGAAGTCCACAGGAGATGGGAAGGGGACTTGCTGATTTCCGTGTGAACTGCTAGTGGAACTAGACACATCCATGACTTGCCAGTGTTTGCATCCAAGTTATGATTTATGCTAAGAAAAGTCGTTCCCATCTAAGCCAAGTCTGACTTTAGAAGTCCTCTTCCCCGTTCCCAAGCTCAGATTGGATGGCAACAGCTACAGGCTGAGATCCTTTGCAGAAAAAGGGGGGAAAAAAGGAAACTAAAGAACCAGAAAATGACTCACATTCTTTCTGAGTCAAGCTGGCTTTGGCCTATTTCGCATCCCACTTCTCCAGTTTTAAGATCCTTTAAGATACTTTTTTTTTGCCCCTGAAATCCCGATGCTCTGAGAGAGTAGGATGAAGCTACTGCAGAAAGAAGGAGAAGAAAAAACAATTTCCTTTGTCATACAGCCACATTCCCACAGATGACCAAGACAAAGTGGATTTAGGATGTGTTGAGGGAAACCTGTAATTTTTTTGGGGGGGGGGGAGGGATTGCCTTATTGCCTTGAGATGGTATAGATTGTGGATTCTCCATCCAATCATGCTGAAGAAGGGACGTTGTCTTACCTGAACGTCTTTTCTCAGCATGATGATGGAGAATCCACGCCCTCCCAGCTAGGGTCAGTTTGGCCCTGATTCCAATGATAAGAAACCATGTGCGTCGGAATAATGTCTGTGCATCACCTTAGTGTCAAACTGGGGTGTAGGGACACAGCAGAGGCATGCCTTTACTTTAGACTTAGTCTTATTGGAGCAGGAAGATTAAGACATAGCAGACGCGTGCTTGAGCAGGGGGCTGGACTAGAAGGCCTCCAAGATCCCTTCCAGCTCTGTTCTGTTCCGTTCCGTTCCGTTCCATTCCATTCCATTCTATTCTATTCTATTCTATTCTATTCCTATTCCTATTCTATTCCATTCCATTCCATTCCATTCCATTCCATTCCTATTCTGTGCTGGTCTGTTCCGTTCTATTCTATTCTATTCTATTCTATTCTATTCTATTCTATTCTATTCTATTCTATTCTATTCCATTCCATTCCATTATTTCTCTATTCTATTCTGTTCTGTTCTGATCCGTTCCGTTCCATTCCATTCCTATTCTATTCTATTCTATTCTATTCTATTCTATTCTATTCTATTCTATTCTATTCTATTCTATTCTATTCCATTCCATTCCTATTCTATTCCCTAGGGCACCAGAGGGTAGGACAAGAAGTAGTGGGTGGAAGCTTGTCAAAGTGAGATTCAACCTAGAAGTAAGGAGAAATTTTCTCACAATTGATAGAATAACTTGCTTCCTGGAGTTGTGGGTGCTCCATTGCTGGAGGTTTTCAAAAGTAGACTGGACAACCATTTGACTGAGATGGTATAAAGTCTCTTACCTTGAGCAGGGGGTTAGACTCAAATAGAGGTCCCCAACCACCAGTCTGTAACATGATACTGGCCTGTGGCCTGTTGGGAACCAGGCTGTGCAAGTGATAGGTGAGCATGTGATGCTCCATTTGCGAAACCGGCAGGCACATGTGCAAAGCCATCTCCTCCCCTGTCTCCCACCGCCACTGCTCCCGGTCCACAGAGCTGGAATGGTTGGGGACCCTGAACTTGACAATGAATAGAATAGAATAGAATAGACAAAAGGTCATTTTCAGCAATGAAATGATCTTAGAACCAGGGGTGGGAGAGCTGAGACCAACGGTTTTCTTGTGGTTTGAGGTAGGGAGTTGGTTTAGAACAAGGGTGGGGAACCATGGCCCTTTTATGATTCGTGGACTTCAACCTCCAGAATTCCTGAGCATGGCTGGCTCAGGAATTCTGAGAGTTGAAGTCCACAAGTCACAAAAGGGCCATGCTTAGAATAGAATAGAATAGAATAGAATAGAATAGAATAGAATAGAATAGAATAGAATAGAATAGAATAGAATGCAGAATGGAATGGAATGGAATGGAATAGAATAGAATAGAATAGAATAGAATAGAATAGAATAGAATAGAATAGAATAGAATAGAATAGAATAGAATGCAGAATAGAATAGAATAGAATAGAATAGAATAGAATAGAATAGAATAGAATAGAATAGAACAGAATAGAATAGCACACTATAGCTAGAATATCATTCAGTGTGTGAATGAACTGAGAAGCTGTTGGGTTTTGCAATCACTTTTTATTTCTTGCCAGGGGAAAAAAAATCTAGAGAACTCCTTTGACAATTTCCGTCAAGCATTCTGAAAGTTCTCCAAGAGATGACTTGGAGAGCATTTTGGTGTTTTTGGCTGCCTTCCTCTGTCTCTTTCGTATCCTTATCTGCTCCCTGCTTCACAGCGTATAGCACTTAACTATAGCAATAGCACTTGGACTTATATACTGCTTCACAGTGCTTTACATCCCTCTCTAAGCAACTTAGAATCATTGTCTTACCCCCAACAATCTGGGTCCTCATTTTACCGACCTCAGAAGGCTGAGTCAACCTTGAGCCGGTGAGAATCGAACTGCTGGCAGCGGGCAGAATTAGCCTGCAATGCTGCATTCTAACCACTGTGCCATCAGGGATCTTGGATGATCTCAGTTGGTTCTTTGGATCCTGTTCTCCTCCATTCACAACTGATATTAAATTATGTACGTTCTCTTTTCCTTTACTTGCAACCATGGAGGGTGAGATAAAGAAGGACCAAGGCTGACACATGAGAATGGGGGTTCATTCATTCTTTCCAAACTCCAGTTGTCCACAAATGGAACCCTGATTTGAGGACCAAGAGCAGCTTTAGGGATGTTTATTTCTTTGTTTTAGAGGACCTAAGAAAAAAGGGTGGTGTTTTTCTTCTTCTTCTACCCCTTGTCCTAGTTCTGATCAAATGCTTGGTCTATACCAGGGGTAGGCAACCTTGACTCTTTTATGACTCGTGGACTTCAATTCCCAGAATTCCTGAGCCAGCCATGCTGAGGGGAGTTTCCATGCTGAGCCATGCTGGCTCAGGAATTCTGGGAGTTGAAGTCCACAAGTCTTAAAGTTGCCAAGGTTGAGGACCCCTGATATAGGGCAGGGGTGGGGAACCTTGGTTCTTTTATGACTCGTGGACTTCAACTCCCAGAATTCTTGAGCCAGGCACGCTGAGAGGAAAGGGAGAGGTTTCCAAGCTAAGTCATGCTGGCTCAGGAATTCTGGGAGTTGAAGTCCACGAGTCATAAAGTGGCCTAGGCCAGGGGTAGGCAACCTTGACTCTTTTATGACTCATGGACTTCAACTCCCAGAATTCCTGAGCCAGCCATGCTGAGGGGAAAGGGAGAGGTTTCCATGCTGAGCCATGCTGGCTCAGGGATTCTGGGAGTTGAATTCCACGAGTCAGAAAGCGGCCTAGGCCTAGGCCAGAGGTAGGCAACCCTGGCTCTTTTATGACTCGTGGACTTCAACTCCCAGAATTCCTGAGCCATCCACGCTGAGGGGAAAGGGAGAGGTTTCCATGCTGAGCCATGCTGGCTCAGGAATTCAGGGAGTTGAAGTCCACGAGTCATAAAAGAGCCAAGGTTGCCTACCCCTGATCTATACATATCTTAGCAACCATATGGCTCTTTGGTAAAAGGCACATTCATTTACCTGACCTTGGTTATCTGAAAAGAACTGCAGAGATAATAGCAATAGCACTTAGATTTATATACCGCTCCTTAGGGCTTTATAGCCCACTCTGAGCAGTTTAAAACATCAGCATATTGCCCACAGTAATCTGGTTCCTCATTTTATTGTCCTGAGAAGGGTGGAAGGCTGAATCAATCTTGAACCAAATTCAGAATTGAACTCCTGGCAGTGGGCAGAGTTAGCCTGCAATACTGTTTGATATTCAGCTCATACCTTCTGGCAGATTTCCACTTGAATATTAATGTCTAATTCAATTCACATAAGGAAAGTTCTCTTGCGAGAGTTATGACTTCTTCTAAACTTTTGTTCAAATATTTTTTCCACATGGTACCAGAACAAATCTTTATAGACTCTAGCAATGGGTTCTGTAATGGAGAAAAAATATATATTTTGAGGGGCATTTTTCTAACTCTTTTCTTGGCAATAGCAGAGCAAAAAGGAGTTGATTAGGTTTGGTGTTCCACAACTGGACCTGGATGGAGCTAGAGTGGAACCTGTGTAGAAAAGTCCCCTAGCAAAAGACCAAATCTACCTTCTTCTAAAGCTAGGCTACTACACATCATATCTTGCAAAAAGAAACATTTCAGCTTGCTTTGCCTGAACTTCGTTTTTCTTATGGGATTATCCTGTTAAACCTTGAGCCCTGGATATCTCTTCTTCTTGATTATTGTATGAGTGTGCTTTACAAAGAGGGTACATTGTCTTGCTAGTTTAGCAGGACATCCCATTAACACTTCATGTAACTCCTTTGTCCTCTTTCTGTTTCTAACTCTGGGCCAAAGTAGCCAAAAAGAGTGACATACCAGCTAGCTGGAAGTGTCTTCTGAACCAGCTGAATGCAAACAAAAAGTCAAACATGCCAACACTTCATTTGTAATGTGGATGGTTCCCTTGATAATCCAAAGCAAAGCTATGAAACTGTACGCCTCGTTCAGTATTGCTTGCAAGAAGTAGGTGATATTTCCTTCGTTCTGTTTACATGCTCATATAAATATGAGCTGTGACCCAAAAAGATACGTGCTATCATTTTTCAAAGCATAAATACCAGGATTTATATTTGGAAAAAAAGCAAGACTGACTATCTTCAGTTCTGGGTCCATTCTTCATAGGCTCCTCAAGTGATAGATCCGTAAGTGTCAGGGCTATAAAAGTTCATGGGTCTGCTCAGAGTTTTGTTAACGTTGGATGTTATGCTGTCATGGGAAATTGTGAGAAACATGCTACAAAGCTGGAAAAAGATAAAAGTGTCATTATCTGAAGACTGGGCTGTCAGTTAATAGCTATAGCACTTAGACTTATATACCACTTCACAGTGCTTTATAACCCTCTCTAAGCAGTTTATAGAGTCATCATAAAGAGCCGAGGTGGCGCAGCAGTTAGAGTGCAGTACTGCAGGCCACTTTAGCTGACTGTGTTCAGCAGGTCAGCGGTTCAAATCTCACCGGCTCAAGGTTGACTCAGCCTTCCATCCTTCCGGGGTAGGTAAAATGAGGACCCAGATTGTTGGGGGCAGTGTAAATATATATATACATTGCTTACTGGTGTACACCGCTTAGAGAGTGCTTGCACTTAAAGCGGTATATAAGTCTCATAAATAAATATTGCCCCCACAATCTGGGTCCTAGTTTTACTGATCTCAGAAGGATGCAAGGCTGATTTAACCTTGAGCCCTATTAGGATCGAACTGCTGGCAGTTTGAATAAAGTTAGTCAGTGCATTCTAACCACTGCACCACAGTATTTAGATAGCAATAACACTCAGACTTATATGCTGCTTCATAGCACTTTAGAGTCCTCTCTAAGTGGTTTACAGAGTTAGCCTATTGCCCCCAACGATCTGGGTCCTCATTGTACCGATCCCGGAAGGATGGGAAACTGAGTCAACCTTGACCAGGTTAGGATCAAACTCCTGGCAGTGGGCAGAGTTACTCTGCGATATTTCATTCTATCCTCTGTGTCAGTTTATGGATTGGGAACTCTTGTAATTTGATTAAACAAAGTTTTAGAATCTAAACTATTGTTTCTTTTTATTTTCCAGAATAATGCCCCGATAACAACAATGGCCATTTCATCTAAAAAGGTACTGACACACAAAAAAACCCCCATCATTCAGCAGTTGTAATTTGGGGTTTATAATTCCTTAAATGTATTTGGTACAAACGTATCAATTGTAGATCATGAGTTGAATCCAGAACTAGGGTGTTGAACTTAAACCAAGTTATCAACATACTGTATGTCAAGGCTAACTTGTCTCATTGATATGATGTTGATTAACTCAGGCAAGATCTGACTTATTTTATGAACACTTTTTTGCTAATTTCCCCCAAAAATATCACAGCTGAGTAATCAATCTATGAAGTGGATTGGGGGGGGGATAAAGAATGTGTTTTATGACAAAGATAAGATCGTTACTGAGAAGGGTTTTGAAAGGGTGGCACTCATGTCTACCACCGCCCAACTTTGTGTGTACTATGTACCAAAGCAGAGAGAGAGAGAGAGAGAGAGAGAGAGAGAGAGAGAGAGAGAGAGAGAGAGAGGGAGGGAGGGAGGGAGGGAGAGAGAGGGAGAGAGAGAGAGAGAGAGAGAGAGAGAGAGAGAGAGAGAGAGAGAGAGAGAGAGAGAGAGAGAGAGGGAGAGAGACTCATAGAGCAGTGATCATAGCATGTATACTTGATATCTCTTTGATTCAAATACAAACTTTGAGATACATCCAAATTCACTGGAACCAAAAATCAAGGGAGTTAATAAGAGGTAGGGAGATATCAATAAGTAGACATAAACCTGCTGATTTTGTCTAATCCTGAAAAAAAACTACAAAGCTAAAGAGGTCAAATTTGAATGAGAGACGAGACTAAGAAGCTTCTAAGAGTCCAGAAGACAATCACAAATCACTTTGATATTGTTTTCAGGAAAGGGCGTACTTATCAGAAGTCAAAGCTGACTTGAAGGAGGCTTGATTTAACGTACAGATGTGCACCCTTCGTTTCTCATGTAACGTAGGAATTTTGCCATAGGAGACATGACAAAAATGTGTTATAGAAGTGAAAGAGGGCATCCAGCATACTAATCGTTCTTCCTAGTAGGGTGGACAGATGGGGATGAAATACCAAGAGATTAGATAGATAAATGATAGATAGATAGATAGATAGATAGATAGATAGATAGATAGATAGATAGATAGATAGATAGATAGATGTTACCTAGCCTGGTAATGAAACATTTGGAAATCAACCCAAAAGCCACTTCAGCAGAACCGATAGCTAATTTTTTTGTTGCCCAGGCCCAGAATGGACTTCTGTAAGCAGCATCCACACAGAGAACCAGTTGTTCACATAATTGAATCCCACCACTGGATGGATGGATGGATAGATAGATAGATAGATAGATAGATGGATGGATGGATGGATGGATGGATGGATGGATGGATGGATGGACGGACGGACGGACGGACGGACAGACAGACAGATAGATAGATAGGCAGATAGGCAGGCAGGCAGACATATTGCTCTCATATTCTCTTGAAGGACTCTCCTGACAGGTGAACCATTACCCTCAAAGTTTTGAAAGTTTTAAGCCTATTTCTTAAACATTTACTAAAAAGGACACGTCGCACAATAATAACCAGAGAGCTCCCTGCATTCATTTTGTTATTTAGTGATCCACTTCTCGGCTTTGTGATCCTTGGAAATAATCAAGGGGGCAGATCCAGTGGTGGGATTCAAATAGGTGAACAACTGGTTCTCTGTGTGGATGCCGCTTCCGGAAGTCCGTTCTGGGCCTGGGCAACAATAAATTAGCTACCAGTTCTGCTGAAGTGGCTTTTGGGTTGATTTCCAAATGTTTCATTACCAGGCTAGGTAACATCTATCTATCTATCTATCTATCTATCTATCTATCTATCTATCTATCTATCTATCTATCTATCCATCCATCCATCCATCCAGTGATGGGATTCAAATATGTGAACAACTGGTTCTCTGTGTGGATGCCGCTTCCGGAAGTCCGTTCTGGGCCTGGGCAACAATAAATTAGCTACCAGTTCTGCTGAAGTGGTGTAAACTAGCTGAATCCCATCACTGGGCATATCTCTATTTGTTGCTTTCAAGCTAGACATCTTCCTGCAGTTCCAGAAGCTAAAAAAAACAAACAAACCACCTTCTCCCTTGCTTTTCAAACAGCAACAGTTGTACGTGAGCTCCGATGAAGGCGTCACCCAGGTGTCTTTGCACCGTTGCCACATCTATGGGACCGCCTGTGCGGACTGCTGTCTGGCCAGAGACCCTTACTGTGCCTGGGATGGCAATTCCTGCTCCAGATTTTATCCAACGAGCAAAAGGTGAATGAGGATAAGCCAACAGATAAGGTTGGCAGAAAGAAAGGCAGTTGGGAGGGTTAACATTTTGTTCACGTGGTGGCGAGGTCACAGGACCCTCTTCCACGGCTTCTAAAATTTTGAAAGAGTCAGATTGCCCGTCGAGATGTTTTCCAGCCAGCATTGTTTGTCTTGAAAGGTTGTTGTTTTTTTTTTTAAGAAAACTAAAGGCCTCTTTTCCTTGTGTTCCTATTGTAACTGTAATTCCAAGGATGCTTGCTGTTCTGAAACAAGATGTTTGCCTGCTGCACGTTTCAGAATTTGCCAAAATGTGATCTGAACATTGAAAAATGTCTGCAAATATCTGAATATCTCCCCGGTCCTCACAACAGAGCCCATCATCTCCTTTTGAGTAATATTTGGGCTTGCTCTGGTGGGAAAAAAGTAAATGCAATAGATAATGAAGTCTGGGTTTTACATTTTTAGGAAATTAATTCCTGTATCTAGTAATATATATATAGAAGAAGAATATATATATTGAGAAAAAGACAAGTCTGGAAGTCTAGACACCAGTAGTAACTCCTTCGTGCAGACAGTATTTTGTTCTGTCTCTTTTCTGTGCCCTACAGATGCCTACAAAGTTTTGTTCCCAAACATGACTGCGAGACGTCTGAGCGTGGCCGTGTTGTGAAAAACCCCTCTGCATCTTTGCCAAATATTTTTCATGTCACGGTATAATTACGTACCAAATTGCCACGCTCTTTTTTGAAATAGCTCTTTCCATTGTTTCCCTTCCACTTCTGAAAGACACCCACAAAGACTAGTTCTCTGTCTGCAATCGTCTTTCAACATTAGTGGTAAAAGGCTTAAAAGAAACTGCTGCAGAGAAATGCTTTAGCACCGGGTCAGATTCTTTTAATGGACACACAATAATGCTAAAAGGAAAACAAATGTTCCTTCAGAATGAGGGAGCTGGCCAGAGATCACAACAGAACATCAAGATGTACTTGCTAAAAAAGCTGTTGGGTTTTCCTTACCATCCTGTACCCAGGATGGGAATGGTAATTTAAAAAAAAAATAATTGGGAAATCTAACCAAGGTCTGCAATGTTTATCATTTCAGTGCTGGGTTTTCTAAAATCAAAACAAGCCCCCGTTCCTAACCAGAGAGAGATGCCCAAATTATATGTTGTTGTGATGTCTATGGAGATTCTCAATCATCTCAGCCATGGCTGTCCCAAAGGTGCTTTTTCAAAAGGCAACTGGACTTTGTTTTTCCAGGAAAAAGCACCTTTGGGACCTGTGGTTGTGATGTCACAATACAAGCTCCACACTTTTTAAGTCTGTGCCATGACTTGTATCATACATAATATGCTGGTTGGTATTTGCCCTGTCTATGGACACCTATAAATATACCACTATAAGTTCTATGGCTTTCTGGATATTTATTCCACCAAAAGGAATCAGACTTCCAAGCTAAAGAGTTACATCCTTTAAAACAGTGGTTCTCAACCTTTTTAATGCCGCGACCCCCAACCGGTCGTAAGTTGAGGACTACTCAACCGGTTGTAAGTCAAGGACTACTCAACTGGTGCAGCACCATTTGCAGAATGGGACTTTTGGTGGGCTCAGCAGGGCAGAGACAGCCTGGACAATTCCTATTGGCTTTTGAAAGCCAATAGAATTAGACTCTATTCAAGAGAGTCTATTCTATTGGCTTTCAAAAGCCAATAGAATAAAAGGGAGTAGCACAGCTAAGGAAAAGGGGGAAAAAATGGCGGATTGCGTTGTTTGGCGACCCCCGTGAAATGGTCGTTCGACCCCAAATGGGGTCCTGACCCACAGGTTGAGAACCACTGCTTTAAAATCATGGAAACAAAAGGTTTCCAACTGCTATATACATATTGCTACCTGTGAAGCATCAGGCAATGGATTATCTCTTGACTTAATTGTTCTTGGATAAACCCAATGGAATCAATAAAACTCAGTGTAGTGCAATGTGTCCCTAATTCCTCCAATTTCATTCCGTCTGCTGAAAATACGACTACATAGTTCTAAATCTATAAATAGCACAATAATGAAGCATGAATGTGTTATTGAATTACATGAAACTTTATGTAAGGTAGAGAAGTGAGTTTTAGCCAAAGGAATGAATTTGATCCACTTGGTTCGTAGTTTGTTTTTTAACAAAAAAAAAAAAAATAAAAAGTCAAGAGTGTTTTTCAATCCTAACAAACACTTGGCTATTTGTAGGATCCTTGGGATTCTCTGAGCTTAATTGTTTTCATGCACCACCACCACCTCCATCTTCTCCACAAACCCCATTCCCTTCTAGCACTGATGGTGTTCCCTAGTTGGGTCATTAAAATCTGCAAGTAAACCATCAAGGTCAGGGAACATCAAGGACCACCACAACCACCTCCACCTCCTCCTCCACTCCATTCTAGCTCTGGTGATGTTACCTAATTGGGTCATGAAACATCTGCAAGAAAACTATCAAGCTCGGAGAGCACCAAGGACCCTACAATCCTCCTCCTCCTCCTCCTCCATCACCACCACCACCACCACCACCATCACCACCACCACCTTCTCCACAAACCCCATTCCCTTCTAGCACTGATGGATGTTCCTTAGTTGGGTCATCAAACATCTGCAAGAAAACCATCAAGGTCAGGTAGCACCAAGAACCACCACGACCTCCTCCTCCTCCTCCTCCTCCTCCTCCTCCTCCTCCTCCTCCTCCTCCTCCTCCTCCTCCTCCACAACCTTCACTCCGTTCTAGCACTGGTGATGTTACCTAGTTGGGTCATGAAACATCTGCAAGAAAACTACCAAGCTCAGAGGGCATCAAGGACCCCTCATTTTCAACCCTGAGCTGCAAATACTCTCTACTATCAATACTTGACTATTTGGTGAAAATTTGCAACTACACCACTTTTCTTTCCTTTATAGGCGGAATCGAAGACAAGACGTGAGACATGGAAACCCTATGACTCAGTGCCGGGGATTTAACCTCAAAGGTAATTTTAAACTGAAAGATGGCCTGGTTCTGGAAAGAAAATGGTCATTTTTCTGAGTGAATCATAGTGGCCATTTCATATCCTGGTAAATATAGCAGAGTACCCATAAATGTGTCACATTTTTCCTTCCCTTTGTGTGGCATGTTCTTGAGGGCATATTTAACTTAATGAAGCATGAGTGTTCTTCTAAAAACCATACCATACTGGCCAATGTGACACCACAAATGAAAGCGTCTCCTTGAGCATTTAAAGTTTGACTAGTTCAAGGGTAGGCAACCTTGGCTCTTTGATGACTCGTGGACTTCAACTCCCAGAATTCTTGAGCCAGCTATGCTGAGGGGAAAAGGAGAGGTTTCCTTGCTGAGCCATGCTGGCTCAGGAATTCTGGGAGTTGAAGTCCACAAGTCATAAAAGAGCCAAGGTTGAGGACCCCTGATATAGGGCAGGGGTGGGGAACCTTGGTTCTTTTATGACTCGTGGACTTCAACTCCCAGAATTCCTGAGCCAGCATGGGGGAACTATGGTCCCTTCATGACTCGTGGACTTCAACTCCCAGAATTCCTGAGCCTGCATGGCTCAGCTTGGAAACTCTCCCTTTCCCCTCAGCGTGGCTGGCTCAGGGATTCTGGGAGTTGAAGTCCATGAGTCATAAAAGAGCCAAGGTTGCTCACCCTGGGACTAGTTTCTCGATTTTACCGTATTGGTCATAAGGTCAGGGAACTTCCTGAATCATTTTTATCCACACGGTCCTGAATAAGCAATTTAAATTCAAGCTTTTGTTTGGTTTTTCAGCAACGTAAACGAAACCTACAAATAGTTCTTCCCTCACGACCGCAAATGAACCTAATATTTTTGTAGCCAAACAAGACAGTTTCAAGTGAATACTGCCCCATTTTATGATCTTTCTTGCCACAGTTGTTAAGTGAATCACTGCAGTTTGTTAAGTTAGTAACACTGTTGTTAAGTCAATCTAGCTTTCCCCATTGACTTTGCTTGTCAGAAGGTCACAAAATGACACACACAGACACCCAGGACACTGCAACCGTCATAAATACAGGCCAGTTGCCAAGCGTCTGAATTTTGATCGTATGATCATCAGGATGCTGCAACAGTTGTAAGTGTGGAAAAGTTATAAGTCACTAATTTCAATACCATTGTAACTTCGAACAAACACTAAACAAATGATTGTTAAGTCAAGGGCTGCCTGTATTTTGGTTTTCATGTCTTATTTCTAACAGGGAAGGAGGCTTGATACATCTTAAGCTTTTCCAAAATTCTAAAGAAGGTAGTTTTTTTTTTTCAAAAATACAAAGGAAGCTGAACATAGCCCAAACAAACACATTCAACAAATAAGAAGTTACTCTCTTTTTCCTTTTTTTAAAAATGTTTTAATGCTTAGACCGTTTTTTCTTCCCCCTAACTGGAAAACAATAATCTGTCTTGGATTCCAGCATTTAAGATGATATATAAAGCTGTCACGTTTTACGTATAATGAGAAGTATTTCTAAAAAGAGATAGACAAACCACCTTTCTCGCAGTTAATTCTTTAGATTGCTTTTCATTTCCAGAATAAGTTTTTAGGAGAGGAAGATATATTTATGAATGTTTGATGGTTCTCGTGCTGAGGGTGGAAATTCATCTCTTGCCCTGAAAGTTCAAACTGTTATTTCCATCTTTTTTTAAAAAAGCAACATGACCAGTTCATTATCTGAAAATTTGCCTTATTTTGAGTATTTTCAACTTACTGTGGGGCAGTCAGCTAAATGAAAAGCCTCTCAGTCAATCAAAACAGAGCATAAATCATTGCCTCTTAATTGCCTTTGACCTACGCGGGAGAAAACCCAAACAACCAAAGACCTACATATATACATACATACATACATACATACATACATACATACATACATACATACATATATATATGTAGGTCTTTGGTTGTTCGGGTTTTCTCCCGCGTAAAATTGGAAGTGTCTTGGCGACGTTTCGATGAAGTCCCATTCGTCATCTTCAGGCTGGTGTTTTCAGCTTCGTGCTGCTTGAAGCACGAAGCTGAAAACACCAGCCTGAAGATGACGAATGGGACTTCGTCGAAACGTCGCCAAGACCCTTCCAATTTTACGTGGGAGAAAACCCAAACAACCAAAGACCTACATACAAACACCCGCGAAAACCTCAGAAAACATATATATATATATATATATATATATATATATATTATATATATATATACACATACATAATACATACATACATACATACATACATACATACATATATATATATATATATATATATATATATATATATATATATATTTCCTTTTGTACCCTAAATACTTCTTTGCACGTGCAGGTCTGACTGTGTTTTTTTCTTTTCAAAGCCTCCAGCTACAAAATAATTAAATATGGTGGGTTTTTTTGTTGTTTTTTTAAATCCTGCTGCATTTGAAGATTTTGCAAAAATGTCTTCTTTAAAAAGAAAAACACTGTGGGATATTTGTGGCTGGTCGTTCTTTCCCTCGGACACACCCCGTGTCTCACAGGGCTGTTGTCATGAAGAAACAATAAAGATTAATCCCCATGCTTTGTTGTTGTTAGTTGGGATGTCATGTCTGACCCATTGTGACCCCATGGACCACGTTCCTCCAGGCCTTCCTGTCCTCTACCATCTTCTGGAGTCCATTTAAGGTCACGCATCCTGCTTCAGTGACTCCCTCCAGCCACCTCACTCTCTGTCGTCCCCTTCTTCTATTGCCCTCAATCTTTCCCAGCATCAGGCTCTTCTCCAGTGAGTCCTTCCTTCTCGTTAGGTGGCCAAAGGACTTGAGTTTCAACTTCAGGATCTGGCCTTCTAAAGAGCAGTCAGGGTTGAGCTCCTGAAAAAGAAAGACAGGATGACAATAGCAAATGACTGTAAGCAACATCAGAGTTGTAAAAATCAGGCATTGGTGCTTTTATTTTATAAGGGACTGGAGAATAAACATATGAAGAAAAGTTGCGGGAACTGGGTATGTCTAGTTTAATGAAAAGAAGAATTAGGGATGACATGATAGCAGTCTTCCAATATCTCAGGGGCTGCCACAAAGAAGAGGGAGTCAAGCTATTCTCCAAAGCACCTGAAGGCAGGATAAGAAGCAGCGGATGAAAACTAATCAAGGAAAGAAGCAACCTAGAACCAAGGATAAATCTCCTAATAGTGAGAACAATTAATCAGTGGAATGCTTTCCTTCATAAGTTATGGGTGCTCTATCAATGGAGGTTTTTAAGAAGAGACTGGACAGCCATTTGCCCAAAATGGTATAGGGTCTCCTGCTTGGATTAGAAGACATCTAAGGTCGCTTCCAACTGTTATTCTGTTATTTTTTAAAAATGGCTTTCCTGTTAATTAAAACCTTATAAAACCACACCCAGAAAGTTTACACACCTGGAAAAAATGTTAGAAAAGGCAAAGATCACAGTCTTGGCAGGCTTGAAAGAACACATTGACAGACCCCTGAAACACATCGCATGGAACACTGTTATTATTGAAAAGTTGGGGGGGGGAGTGAAAATGATTACATTGCTGAAAAAAATGGAGACAGTCAAAATGGAGACATGCATTCCAAGACTTTGGAATAAAGAAAGTTAACTCTAATACCAATAGTCATTGGAGCTCTTGGCGCCATAGCAAAGGGATTCAGCGAATTTTTAGAAGTGACATCACAAAATACCATCTTTCTTAGAACTTCCTGTGTACTATGATGGTACACACCCCTCATTCCTAAGCATTTGGTTAGTACTCTAATGAATAGAATAGAATAGAATAGAATAGAATAGAATAGAATAGAATAGAATAGAATAGAATAGAATAGAATAGAATAGAATAGAATAGAATATATGGAGTGGAGTGGAGTAGAGTAGAGTAGAGTAGAGTGTAGAGTAGAGTAGAGTAGAGTAGAGTAGAGTAGAATAGAATAGAATAGAATATAATAGAATAGAATAGAATATATGGAGTGGAGTGGAGTGGAGTGGACTAGAGTAGAGTAGAGTAGAGTAGAATAGAATAGAATAGGATAGGATAGAATAGGATAGAATAGAATAGAAAATATGGAGTGGAGTAGAGTAGAGTAGAGTAGAGTAGAATAGGATAGGATAGGATAGGATAGGATAGGATAGGATAGAAAATGTGGAGTGGAGTGGAGTAGAGTAGAGTAGAGTAGAATAGAATAGAATAGAATAGAATAGAATAGAATAGAATAGAATAGAATAGAATAGAATAGAATAGAAAATGTTGAATAGAATAGAAAATAGGATAGGATAGGATAGGATAGGATAACAGAGCTGGAAGGGACCTTGGAGGTCTTCCAGTCTAACCCCTTGCTCAACAGAAGACTCTATAGCATTTCAGAAAGTGGCTGTCCAGTCTCTTCTTAAAAACCTCCAGTGATGGAGCTCCCACAACTTCTGAAGGCAAGTTGTTCCATCTGGTTAATTATCCTTACTGTTAGGAAGTTTCTCCTTAGTTCCAGGTTGCTTCTCTGCTTGATTAGGTTTCTTTACTTTCATTATTTATGACATCCAAGTGCTATTCCGATCTTTTGATGCGGCATCTATTGCACCAAACGCCAATGGCCCAACTATGACTCTCAAATTGATGAAGTTGATTTACATTCTAGGTTATCGAAATGCAGCTGAGGTCATCCAATATGGAGTCAAGAACAACACCACATTCCTTGAGTGCACACCTAAATCTCCACAAGCTTCTATTAAATGGCTTCTCCAAAAGGACAATGACCGAAGGAAAGAGGTGAGTGACCTCATGGAAAGGCAATGAAGGTCAACTTATCATAAAGCTGATCTTTTTTTCAAGATTATTATTATTATTATTAATAATAATAATAATAATAGGAGCACCACAACTGGAGCACCACTTGAACACCATTGGCATTGACAAATTTGCTATTAGTCAATTGCAAAAGGCAGCCTTACTAGGAACTGCTTCCATCCTGCGACGATACCTGTAATACCATCAAACATCCACATCTGCCTATCCCAGGTCCTGGGTAAGGACTCGATAGGTAGACAAAATGACAAATCCAGTCTGAACATCTGGCTGACTGTGCGATGATCCATAATAATAATAATAATAATAATAATAATAATAATAATAATAATAATAATAATAATAATAATAATAATAATAATGAAGACAGCATTATGCAAAGAAGCTGAAGAAACAGTGGACCACCTGGTAAGCTGCTGCAAGAAGATCTCACAGACTGACTGCAAGCAGCGGCATGACAAAGTAGCAACAATGGTGCATTGGAAGATCTGCAAGAAATATCATTTGCCTGTAAGCAAGAACTGGTGGGATCATAAAATAGAGAAAGTCATAGAAAATGAGAAAAATATACTGCTCTGGGACTTCAGAATTCAAATAGACAAGCACCCGCAACATAACACCCCAGACTTAACAATTGTCGATAAAAAAGACAAAAAAGTCTGGATAGTGGACGTGGCAGTGCCTGGAGATAGCAGAATAGAAGAGAAAGAACCGGAGAAGATAACAAAATACAAAGACCTACAAATAGAAATAGAAAGACTGTGGCAAAAGCAAGCAAGGGTAGTACCAATAGTAATAGGCTCCTTGGGTGCAATCCCAAAACAACTGGAGCACCACTTGAACACCATTGGCATTGACAAATTCGCCATTAGTCAATTGCAAAAGGTGGCCTTACTAGGAACTGCTTCCATCCTGCGACGATATTTGTAATACCATCAAACATCCGCATCTGCCTATCCCAGGTCCTGGGTAAGGACTCGATAGGTAGACAAAATGCCAAATGCAGTCCAAACATCTGGCTGACTGTGTCATGATCATCATCAATAATAATAACAATAACAATAATAATAATAATAATAAAAAAGTTGGAAGGGACCTTGGAGGTCATCTAGTCCAACCCCCTGCTCAGGCAGGAAACCGTATACCGTTTCAGACAAATGGAACAAACAATAGAACAGAGCATTCACAATTGAGACACCAAAATTAAATTTCTTTTAACTGCTTCCAAGTGTTACGAGTGAAATAAGAATATAATCCGACAGAATGAAGGATCACATTTTCCATTATTGTTTTGTCCCCAAAGTTTCAAATTTCAGCTCCGTCATATATAGGGTAATTCTTTAGGGGAAAATAGTCTTCATTTAGCGAAATAGAATGGATCTTTTTTATTATTACTTATAAATTCTTTCTATGAGGGGAAAGATAGCCTTTTATACTACTGATTATCGGTGTCTGAATAAATCCAAACCACACAGATTAAAGGGAGCATTACGTGCACTGCTTTCATTAGTTAAAAGTCATTTTGTCTGTTTACATCTTATATTATTAATTGATCGTATTAGTTGAATGTCAAATGAAACGCTTCCTCAAACTGAAAGTCCATCAGTGCAGAAAAACTAAAAGAAAAACTAAAAAAAAAACAAAAAACACCCCAGTGTTTTATACAAATACAATGTTTGATGAAGAAAAAAAAAAAAAGATTGGTTAATAATTTATTTATTAGTTTGATGAATTAAATGATGTCTTAAGAATGCATTTATTTGGTGCAGTTGTTAGCAGTAAATGATTTAATAGTAAGCTATATTAACCAAACGATGTATTAATAGCAAATAACAAACTTTGAAAATATATATCTATATTTTTGACTGCCCTAGGTGAAACTCAGTGAAAGAATCCTAGCCACTCAACAAGGGCTTTTAATCCGTCTGGTGCAGGAAGCTGACCGTGGAACATACCACTGCATTGCCACAGAAAACGGCTTCAAGCAGACAATTGCCAAGGTGAACTTCAAGGTTTTGGATTCAGACACCGTGGCCTTCATGACAGACAAGTGGTCTCCATGGACCTGGGCCAGTCCACTCCACACCTTGCAGTTCCACCCAAAGGACCTGGCTGGATCTTTCAGCCACTCTGAACTGCAGATGATTAATCAATATTGCAAAGACACACGGCAACTGGGTCAACAGGCTGACGCTTCCACAAAGATGAGAGGGGACTATGGCAAACTAAAGGCTCTTCTCAACAGCCGAAAAAGCAGGAACCGCAGGAATCAGTGGCCCGGATCTTAAGGGCCAAGCTTGATCAACAAACTTCTTCTTCATCATCATCACCACTGCCATCTTGTACCCTCAATCAAGGGATTCATTTTTATCAGGTGGTTTTCTTTCCTTGCTGAGAGTAGAGCGGATCAGTAATCAAGCCCGCTCGATAAAAGTTCAGGACACCCAGACTCTCTAAGCTAAAACCAGACAATTAAGACCAAGTCCAAAAAGATGTCCATTGTGAAGTAACCTATTGATCCCGCCTTGCTTTCACACTCTAAGCCTTCAGAGAGGGTGTTCCACCATGTTTTGAGGTCATCTTTGTTTTCTTGATACGGAAAACAAATGATGAAGCACTGAATGTCCAGCTTGCAAGGTGGGAGGAAAGAGGGTTAGGACAAAGAGTGACTTTGTCATCTACATATATGATTTTGTGTGTGTCTGTGTGATTCTTTGTTTACGGTACGTTGTGTTGAAAAACAAGCTCTTGTGGAGGCACAACTTCAAGTCAATGTCCTGCATTAATGTCACAGAAAGATCATGCTGATTAGGAATTATGGGACAACACAGTTGGGGAAGGAGGACTGGGGTAGGCTAATAGCACCACTGCTGTGGCATCTACCATGTTCAGTTAGCCAAAATCATGAGTATTCAATTTCCATTGTGTATTTGTATAAAATGGAACCTCAAAAAAGATACATACATGCAGTCCAAAACTACTAAGCCCATAAAATCAAGTGAAGGAGAAAAGTAATATGAGAATAAATATTTTCTGGAAGTTGCAATAATTTATTTTATTACATATTTCACCTGTAATACAATGGTGCGTACAGAAGCCACAGTGAATAGAGTTAATAATAGGTTGATAGATTTACATCAGTCATTTGAACTCATTGAGAATTTGAAAATGTCTTAAATTGAATCTGAAAAAAAATAATGAAATACTCCCTTGTGACACTCAGAGACACACACATTATGGAGCGTAACCTCCATAATGACAGGAACATTATCAGTACAGATATAGTAGTGGCCAAAACCTTTTGGGAAAAGTGTACAATAGAAATGCCACCTTTAGTTAAGTTTCCACCATTTTTTCCTTCCAATTTCTTTATAACTGTAGCCTTGTTCACTTAATAATACTATTTTATATTGCTTTCTGGGCAACCAGAAAACTCTTTGCACCACTACTTTAATTTTATTACATTTTACAAGCTCACTCAATGAAAGAACACAAAAAAATTCCAACCAACTTGATAGCCATCACATAACATACTGACAAATGTCCTCCTCTCAGCTTCAATACAGGACATCAAAAATTAGATCCTACTGTGATCTGATTGGCTCATTGCCAAAAGAAGATGACACCTGATTGGCTCTCTAAACACTCATGCTCATTGGCTACAATCAGATGAAGGAAAGCTACCTGATATCAACTTAAGCAAGTTGTGTTTCCTTTTTCTGGTTATTGGGCTATAACTTTTCATAGAATACAATACAGATAATTGAACAAACTTTGTTGCATTGCATTCTCAATTAAATTATCTTTCCATTGATATATAATTTTATGGTACTACTCCCCCCAAAAAAGTGGTGTTATTAGCCATCAAACCTCAAAAATACATTTTTCCCAAAAGGTTTCCACAATTTTGGCTACTACTGTCTAAATATATAGATACGTATCCAAGCAAATACAGATGGCTGTAAACCATTGTATTCATTGCTTTGGCCAATATCCTTTGTAGTGATATAATCCATTCATGACATATGTTTATATAGTATGATAAGAGGGAGCTGTATCTTCAGTGGTACCAACAATTAAGTCTTCTCCATTAAATTTATTTCAATTTCTTGCACTGAGAAGATAGGTCAGAAAGGATATTTTGGGGACATTCATCTCAATATGTTTGGAATCTTCTGGTAGATCCTAAGCAAAATAACCAGCTTTTTATGCAGCATGGGAGATGAAATACAAGGGGAAAAGGACATGAAATTGCAGTTGGCAGCTATATCACCGGTTCCCTCCAATTTTTGATCAATGAGACAATTGATGAAAAATGTGTACTTCTCAACTCTTACCATTTTCTGATTTACCCCCATGTTCAGCTTAATTAAATTCAGCATCAGCTTGTCACTTTTTTTGAAGACCACCCAACAATATGGCTATTTCTAGCAATACAGACCTTGGATCCGTCTTACCTAATTTGTGTATACACATTCCTTATTTATGGATGTTGGACTCTTTAGTAGATTTTTGGCACTGCGGAATTCAAAGAAGGACAAATAAGGAAGGCGACCCCATAAAGCAGAATATTCATTGGAGGAGCATGAGTCAAATAAGCATGCACAAAAGTATGAGTCTCTACTCTGGTCTGAAAAGTTCAGAATCAACCAATTTCTCCCTGAGGCCCACTCAAGAAGCAACCTCCGATAACATTTTGGTTGTGTGTGAACTGTACCTAAGCCATGTGCTTCTCCACAGAGCATTTCATGCAAACTGAGAAGCAGCTAGCAAATCTGTTGTGGTTGACCCCTCCCTGGGTCAGTGTATGCTTTCTGCAGGACATTTCCCAAACAGATGTTCCCCTTCCCACACAAATAACTCCCAGTTCTCATATGTACTGCATAACCAATTTTGCAATTTGCATTAACAAGCATGCCTAAAGACAAATGCATGTGTGCTCTTTTTAAGACACTTAACCTAAGTTCTCTTAACGTTTTCAACCTCCACAAGAGTAACATCAGCCTATGTAAGTATAAGCATAATACTTCATGTGAAATATTAATGCCACTCTACAATGCCTTGGTAAGGCCACACTTGGAATACTGCATCCAGTTTTGGTCACCACGATGTAAAAAAGATGTTGAGACTCTAGAAAGAGTACAGAGAAGAGCAACAAAGATGATTAGGGGACTGGAGGCTAAAATATATAAGGAATGGTTGCTAGAATTGGGTATGTCTAGTTTAACAAAGAGAAGGACAAGGGGGGGACATGATAGCAGTATTCCAATAACTCAGGGGCTGCCATAAAGAAGAGGGAATCAAGTTATTTTCCAAAGCGCCTGAAGGCAGGACAAGAAGCAACGGGTGGAAAATAATCAAGGAGAGAAGCAACCTAGAACAAAGGAGAAACTTCCTGACAGTGGGAACAATTAATCAGTGGAACAACCTGCTTCCAGAAGCAGTAAATGCTCCAACACTGGAAGTTTTTAAGAAGAGACTGGACAGCCATTTGTCCGAAATGGTGTAGGGTTTCCTGCCTGAGCAGGGGGTTGGACTAGATGACCTCCAAGGTCCCTTCCAACTTTACTATTATTATTATTTTTATTATTAAGTTTACTTTGCCTCCCTTTTTAACCTTCCTTGCAATAACTTCTATCTACAGAAGATGGTGTTTCCGCTTTTCTAACCCTTCCGCTGATCATAAAGGAATGAATAAGTCTTCCAACTGCTCATCTGTTCTCTGTCATGCTTCTCGGTGAAGTCTAATGAAGACAGGACCTCCACAAATTTTGGGGAGCAGTGTAGAAATATTTCTGTAAGCAAAATCAACACGGAGAGCGAACTACAGTACATTATAGTATGACATATTTAATTTCAAGGCACAGCGGTCAACCTCTTCAAAGATACTCTAGTAAAGTTTGCTCAAGTCTGACCTTCAAAGGGGAAAGATTGATCTCTAAGTGGAATCTGCAAATGCTCTTAAGCTCTTCTTGGCTAATCCAAGAATAGGAAGTCATGCTGGAAATGAATTAAAGATCCTGATTTCTAAGGAGAATGTTTATTACAAAATCTAGGGGAGTGGTTTGGAAAAAAAAAATTCCAGTAACTGTAAGCTCTACTATAACTGAACTCAAGATTAATTCTTGGTGGCTCAACAAATTTGATATGTCCTGCATTTGGTTGGGAGGAAGAGTTTACCACCTGTTTTTTGTTAGTGTAATATATCAGTCTGGTGTCAAGCTGTTTCCTTCTGATCTTGCCAGGATTAGCTTTTACACTACTTAACAGAAAATGGCTTTCCATATAGCATAAATTCTTTCTAGCCACCATAAGAACACACGAGTAAAGAAGCCAATAATTAGGTATACTGGGATAAAGAGAGGATGAATTATATTTAGTCCTAGTCATGAAATTAGAACAGCCTGCCCCAGATGTTCTGGCTTTCAACCCCTGGAAATCTCCAACAGTCATCTTGATTCAAGAACTTAAATCCAACATGCCTTGTGGATATTTTTGAGTAATTTCAAATTGGCACTGGCAAGGAGGGTGATAGAATAGTTGCCAAATTGGTGCTTATGTGGTATCATGAGATCACCATTAAGAAATCAAGATATTAATGTAGCCTTCGTACACTAAAGCTACCTCTTGTGTTCTTATTTGATCTTTCCATATAGGTTATTTCTGAACAAGGCAATTTCCAGCTGTCATGTCTGCCTGCCTATATCTCTATCTATCTGTCTGTCTGTCTGTTTTATTATCTATCATCCATCCATCTATCTATCTATCTATCTATCTATCTATCTATCTATCTATCTATCATCTATATTTATCATCTAACATCTGTCTATTATCATCTCTATCTCAATCTATCTCTATCATCTATCGTCTATCATCTATCGTCTATCATCTATCTGTCTGCTGTCTGTCTATCTATGTATCTATCTATCTCTATCATCATCTATCTGTATATCTATTATCATCTATATATTTATCTATATCTAACTCTACCTATCTATCATCTATCATCTATACTATCTATCTATCTATCTATCTATCTATCTATCTATCTATCTATCTATCTATCATCTATATTTATCATCTATCATCTCTGTCTATTATCATCTCTATCTCAATCTATATCTATCATCTATCGTCTATCCATCATCTATTTGTCTGTCTGTCTGTCTGTCTATCTATCTATCTATCTATCTATCTATCTATCTATCTATCTCTATTTATCATCATCTATCTATATATCTATTATCATCTATATCTAACTCTACCTATCTATCATCTATTGTCTATATTATCTATCTATCTATCTATCTATCTATCTATCTATCTATCTATCTATCTATTTATCTATCTATCTATCTATCTATCCCTAACATCATCTATCTGTTTCTGGTCACCCTTCCTCTTAAATGATGAAAATGGATCAATCCCGGCCTCAGTTTTGAGCTTTCTAAGAGTGGGTACTGACAGTTTTTTTTGGGGGGGGGGGTTAGACTCTTCCCCAATCAATTAATAAGAGAAATAAATGCACTGATGTCAGGCATTAATGGTTACACCCTTTAACAATGAAAGCTGGAATTGTTTTGTTTGTTTGTTTGTTTAATCTCAAATTCTGGAACTAGAAATGAGTAGACTGATAGAAGATGGATTGGACTAGTATTCGTGAATTTGGATCCAACCTTAATGTAGACTGGGTAATCCTTATATAGCCCTTATATACATGACTGTTCCATAGCATAGCCTTCTAAGTATGGTGTTCTCTATAAATATCGGTCTTCATTTCCATTAATTCCAACCGATAGGTTCTCCAATTAGAACAAGGGTAGGCAACCTTGGCTCTTGGACTTCAACTCCCAGAATCCCTGAGCCAGCATGGCTCAGCATGGAAACCTCTCCCTTTCCCCTCAGCATGGCTGGCTCAGGAATTCTGGGAGTTGAAGTCCATGACTCATAAAAGAGTCAAGGTTGACTACCCCTGAACCTGAATGATGGGCAACAGCTGGAGAACTTCATTTCATAGAAATCTGATGCAGAGTTTTATTAAAACGCTGCCCATTTAAAAAGCAACCTCATCTTAATACCCCAAAGATGTATGTTTATAATATTGGTTGTTGGATTTATTTGTATTTAATATCTTCCTATTCTAAGGATACCGAATAATATATAATGTATATATATTTCTTTTTTAAAAAAAAAAT